AGTTTGTTTTATTTTAGTTTAATAACATGAATTGTTAAAATTCACATTTTTGTAATTGATGTGTTTTTTGAAGCGGGACTTTAACATTTCTCATTTAACAAAAAATAAACTTTTTACAAATAAATATGCAGCATTATGCATGAATCCTTTATTATATACAATATTTCACAACATTTACTAAAATAAATTATATTGGATTAATGCTTGACAGACATTGACTTATTGTTTGAATCAGTTTGCACAATATGAACTAATATTTTACATGTTTTTTATCTTTAAATATTGTGCATTTTAGATATGTTGTAGTATTAATAAGTCTTTTAATATTTTCAGGTACGGGAGCTGGTCCTGGATAATTGTCGATCAGTCGAAGGGAAAATTGAAGGCCTCACAGCTGAGTTCGTCAACCTGGAGTTCCTCAGTTTGATAAATGTTGGCTTGATGTCTGTGTCCAATCTACCCAAACTAGGAAAACTGAAAAAGGTATGGCAGATTTTTATTTTATTTTTTTACAGTTTCACATAATTGGCGTGCAGTGAGATGAGTCAGCTGCAGTAACCCCACTTATCTTTCAGCTGGAGTTGAGCGACAACAGAATCAGCGGTGGCCTTGATGTTTTAGCAGAGAAACTCCCCAACCTCACACATCTAAACCTGAGTGGCAACAAATTGAAAGACATCAGCACGTTGGAACCGTTGGTATGTATCCAGATGTGGCAGTGCAAACAGAAAGCTGCTAAATCCTGCAGACTTTGTCCCAGTCGGTGCAGATGTTGTCATCTGTTATCTGTGCACAGGAACCAGTTGAAGTGTGTGATCATCGTTTTATAGACTAGCATCTAATCCAGATAAATAACAGTTTCACAGAACTTTATTAATCAGTGGCCATAGAGCTGTGTGTCTTATGAACCAGAACGATAATGGTGTAACAGTAGCGACCTCATCTCAACGTTTCTCTGCGTTTGATCAACAGAAAAAGCTGGACAACCTGAAGAGTTTGGATCTGTTCAACTGCGAAGTAACAAACCTCAACGACTACAGAGAGAGCGTCTTCAAGTTGCTGCCCCAGCTCACCTACCTGGATGGCTACGACATGGAAGACAGGGAAGCCTCTGACTCCGACGGCGAGGTGGAAGGAGACGGCGTGGATGAGGAAGACGAAGGTGAGGAGGGGGCGGGGTTTAAGTTCCTGCTGGGCGTTTTATTTTTTGCATCGTTTCTTCGGAAAATAAAGTTTTTATAATCGGAAAAAAAAACACGCAGTGCTTCATGTTGTCTAAAAGTGAATAAATTGAGAATGTCTGTATTGCAAATGTAGAGGAGGAAGAAGATGAAGATGGAGAGGAGGAGGACTTTGATGAGGATGAGGATGACGAGGAAGACGATGAGGAAGTAGAAGGAGAGGATGATGATGAGGAAGTCAGTGGTGAAGATGAGGTAAAAGGAAAAAAAAACATACTTTTTAAGGCCTAAGTGAGAGTTTCATCGTTTTTAATTGTTTATTTCCTTGTGAATTAATCTTTAAGGAGGAAGAATTTGGCCCAGAAGGAGAAGTGGAAGAGGAGGACGAAGAGGAGGATGAAGATGAAGAGGGTATGTAGCTTCTTTAATGCCTTCACTCCCACTTTGATCTTGAAGCAGTGAAAACTTGACAAGAATGCGCTGAGCTTTTAAACATGCCATGTCACGAGACAATCACAACTTTCAACTCTGACTCATCAAGAGGACAAATTGGTTTTATTTTTGTCTCCTAAATGTTTAATAAACCAACCAACACAAATATTTAACAGGTAAATTCAGTCTACATATAAAATATTTTTGTGAATCCAGCACAAGTTCTCCTTTTTAAATTTCAAATTCACGTGAGAGGACAGAGAACAATGTGGCATATGTTTTTTATTGTTGGAGAAAAAAAGACGGTTATTAATTTAATTTTATTTTTTTCCCTGTTCAGATCAATTTAAAGCCCAATATTTCACCACTGCTAATATTTTTTTCTTTGTTTACAGTTTTCATTGTTCACACAGAACCTGAAATAACCACGCCTGGCCTCTAGGTGGCGAGAGTGCACAACATTAGCAACATGTCAGAAAGGAGAAAAAAAGAAACAGCTGACAACTTTAAACAATGCCTGTAATTTATGTCTGCAGACTTGTTTCATGGAGGGAACATAGTCACTAGAATCAGTGGATAACTTACACTCAAAAGACAAGTTATTTCCCCCACTTTTTCAAGTCAGTGAACGCACCACACACCTGCTGGTTGAATGCATCTTCAGTGTTCTTACTCAGAGACAAAAACAGGTGTTACTGATATGTTGGAAGTTTACATTAAAAAGAAAAATGTTTATGTTCAGGTATAGTTATATAAATTTGTCCAAATATATCTGTTGAATAACTTGAAGCACTATAATTTTATATTTCCAGTGATAGAACAAGAAGACTCCGTAACATGTCAAACAATTTATTGATTTAAAAATAGGAAATAATATACAGAAACTGGATAAAAAACTTGAGGTTTAAACTGGGTTGTTCTAAAGTAGGGGTGGTTTAGCTCCTTGCTTGTAATGAATATTTCATATAATCTGCTGTATGTATGTTTGCAGATGAAATGTGTTTCAAAGCGTTTGTGGTTTTGCCTCTCTTTACAACCACCTGACACACATTTCCTCTTCGCCCACAGAAGCAGAAACCAACAAAGGGGAGAAAAGAAAGCGAGACCCAGAAGACGAGGACGACGACGAGGACGATGAAGACGACGATTGAAAGCAAAACTGAGGAGGAGAGCCTACCGAGTCACCCTCTTTTTACCGCCTCCCCACCGCCACGAACCCGAACGTCCGCCCCTCCAACAACTCGCACCGCCTTCGTAATCCACGTCTCCCCCTCCTCCTCGCTCTGCGCTCTTTTTATGGGCAAGACTGTACTGACGGGTGGGCTCAGTGGAGCTGCCCACCCTTCTCTTCTTTCTTTTTTTTTTTTTTCTTTTCTTTTATTTTTTAACCCCGCAAGGATCTGAGAGCCACCTAACACCCTCCACCTCACCCCACCCATGACCCCCGAGGTTCTCAGGCAGCCCGTCACTCAGCATTCCACAGTTTCACTCGTCGATCCCTCTTTGTTTTCCCGTGTGAGGACTTTGGGACTGGTATCTAGTTTGGGTCTGTGTTTTTAATATTTTGTTGGATGAATAATTTTTTTCTTTTGTTGTTGTTGGGTTTATTATTTCTCTTTTTTTTGCGTGTGTCTCTTAATTTTTATTTTTCTGTTCCTTTATTTTTTTTTTCCCAATAAAATTATTACTATAGCAGCTGTGCAACCAGCAGGCCATGGTTTTTAGTGTGGCAGCCTGTTGCACAAATCAAGGTTGTAGCTACATTTTTACTTTCTGTATGACAAAAAAAAAAACAACTTTGTAAATAAAATGTTAACATTTTGTTTGCTTGTTTTTATTTTGAGAGTAGAATCATGCAATCTCAGCATGATCTCTTCAGGGACAGTGAGTGAAAAGAACATTATTTTCTTAACAGAGGTTTTATGCCCATAAAAGTTGGGTTGTGGGGGCAGCAGCTTGAGCAGGAGGCCCAGATGTCTTTTTCTACAGTTGCCTCTTCCAGGAGGGTTTGGAGGTGTTCGTGGACTGGTCTCATCAGCGTGGTCTGGGTCTTTCCAGCGGTCTCCTCCCAGTTGAACCTCCCCAGGGAAGCATTCCTATTAGATGCCTGAACCAAATCAACTGGTTCCTTTTTGGTAATATTTTATTTTTAATAAGAATAATCAGGTTTGAGATCAATGGTTCTTTTTTTAAGTTTACACAATCACAGCTTGTGTTCACCCCTCATTAATCCGTCATTATTCCTAACCTTATCATCCCACTCATCCTCATTCCTACCTTCTTTTGTAGCACTATTACCTCCTCTTGCCTTCCTCCTTTCCTTATTCCTAAACTGTACCCCTCCTCACCCCACCTTTAATTTCCAATTTTCTTATTGCCCATCCAACATAGGTGGACAATCAGATAAATGCCTCTTTGTTAGAAAAATATCTCATGAGCCAGCAGAGGAATTTTAACTAAACTACGTAATCGATGTGCATCGCTGATTAACAAAACAAACTCAGCAACAAGGAAACATGGTTATAACTCAGTCAAATTTACAGATGCAGTTGTGAAATTTGGTGTGGTAGTAGTCGAGAGTCATCCCCAACGTGTACTCTGAGCACTAACAGATTGTGTGAAATCTTTTAAAGCTGGTCTGTGAAGGAGCAGGTGATGTGCATTTCGTAACTCGTCACATTTTTCTTTAAAAAAAGTAGTCTGCAAAAAAGAAGTAATTTGGTACGGCTCATTAGTATAAAATGGTGATAATTTCACACTTTCAACAATAAGCTGTTTAGTAACAGGTGGTTCTTGGCGGCTGTGGATATTCATAATTTATTCTTTGGCTTGGAGGCAATAAAACAATCGGTTCTCATCTGGGGTTCGGTTAGACACAAAAGTCTTTTAATCAACGTAATTCATACTGGAGAATAATTTGATGAGAATATTTGTTTTGTACTTGGTTAATGTTGTAATTTAAATACATTTACATTCCTAGTGATGCTGCAGATGTTTTCAAAATTAGAAACTGAGCTAAAATAGTTGGAAAAAAAAGATGATAGTTACAATTTTTAATAGTTGACCCGGTTTATGTTGCCTCGAAATTTAATGTTTAGTTGAACAGAGGATGAATATTTGTCATAAATGTTAACAGTAAAATTAATTTGACAAAGATTTGGGAGAACAGACTTTGAGGAACCTGTTAAGTTCAAAGTTGTGAGGTTCTCTGGCTTTTTAGTGACTCCAGAGCATAAAAACAAAACAAAACAAGGAAATCCCTCCCTCTTTACACATTCTCTATACTGCATTTGCCAAAATTACAACTCAAGTTTTTAATTAAAATCTTTATTCTTGGTTTGCCTTTTCAAATAAATACAAACATTTGGTTCAAAACTTGTACATGGCCTCAGTGGCAGACATGGCTTTTACACGTCATCTGCTGCAAAATAAACCGGTTTCCAGTCATTAACAATAAAACAGAATAATAAAGATAAAAAAATAAATGCAGCTTAACAGAACGGCAGATTACAGCTGGAACCAAACCTTTTTTTTTTGTCTCGCTCACAATCAACCACGCATTCATGACTTAAACACCACGACCCATTTACAGCAGTTTAAATATTGGGGGGGGGGGGGGGTGTAATAAAACTAAATCAACATTATCTCCTGATCACACATACACGCCTGCTTGTCCTGCCGCAACTCAGTCAAAACATAAAAACATGTTTCTTTTATTGATCAGCTACAAAAAAGCACAAAAAAAGCTCAAAACATATAAAAGTTGCATAGCTGTGAGGCGCTGAGAGGAAGAACGGAGAGAAAAAGGTAAAAAGGTGCCGTTTTAAAAGTACGTGATCATAAAATATGTGCACCACCAGTCGAGTCGACAGGAAGGGGCGACCCCGAGGTTTGAGTGGACGCCCTGCAACGCGGGGACAGCGGGAGGAGAGGAGGTGGGTCAGAACCTTGGGTGGGTTCTGTTACTGGAGTTTGTGCAGTGGATGCATATGTGTGTCCACCCCCCCCCCCCCCCCTCCCAGGTGGACGTGAGGGTCTTATATGGAGTTCTGGTTCTTGATGTTCTTGATCTCCAGCTCCAGCTGTTTGACACGGACGTCCCTCTGGTTGAGGAGCTCCCTCAGCCGTCGGATCTCCTCCTGCTGCTTCAGGAACTTCAGGCGAAGCTGTGGATGAAGACAAGAGGGAGACAAATCATAGAGCTGTCCACAGTGGAGACAGAGGGACGCATCCCATTCAGACTGAAACATGTTTAATGGACGCGTTGATAACAGACATGTTAATTATTGTGGAAAGAAGAAAAGTGAGCAATGTTGTTTTTGCTTGTGCTTGTCTGTTAGCAAAATATCTCATGAGCCACTGGATATATTTTATTGAAATTCTTAGAAAATAGTCATTGGATGTAGTTCTAGAACTGTTCTACTTTTGGAGTAAATCCAATTCAAGATGGCCACCACAGCTAACCAACACTGGCAAATACTTAAACAGCTATAACTCAGTCAAACTTAAAGATATAAGGCTAAAATTTAGCGTGGTAGTAGCTGAGAGTCATTGCCATCATATCTTTCATGGACTGGAAGATGGTGCAAAATCTTTCAAAACTTTGGTATGCAAAGTGGCATCAATATGCATTCCTTCAAGGAATGCTACTTTTGTTTATTCATTTATTTATTCATAAATCTTTCTATTTGTTATGATTTGTGGTGCTTAGTTTTCTCATTAGATTCATTGAATTAAGTTTTTGTTTTGTTTTTGCATTTAAGTTCCAAAAGCATAAATATTAATCTGCTACAGTTAATAATTGTCATCTATCTGTATTTAATAAAGCGCAATAAAAATAACCCCAGACATTAGAAGTGAAACCACTGATAATAAAATCCTCCTGCACCTCGTTCTCGGTCCTGGGAGGTGAGCAGAGAGCGAGGTCCTCCCCGTTGCTCACGCCGGTCCGACTCCTGTCGTCCTCTGGGCGCCCGTTCTCTTCTCTGGTGTCTTTGGCTTCCAGTCGGTCCTGAATGTAAGCGGGCTGCAGGATGCCGGGTCTGCTCTGAGGCCTGTGAGAGTCCAGCGAGTTGCTCAGGCCCTTGGTGTCTGACGGAGACTCCATCATCTCACTCCCAGGCTTCAGAGACATCAGCAGTGGACCTGGAAGACAAGAGACCAGGATAAAAGGCAGCCCGACTAAATGACCAGTTTATACTGGCTGCTTACAGCTAGGAGATGTTAAAGTGGTGGAAACCTCCGAGTAATTTCGCACACCTACACACAACGTCTCCAGACTCAAAACCCCGCTGCTCAATACATATAAAGATCTCCCACACCCGTTATTCTGACCTTTGTTGATGCCGCTGAGCCACTCCGCTGCAGACAGAGCGGGCCTGTTACTGGCCGTCATCGGATAGATGTCCTCCTGATATGATTCCGACTACACACACATACAGACACAAGCACAGACACACACACACACTAAATGAAACACAGTCCAAAGGGAGGATGGGTGTTTGTGGTAGATAAGTCTGTTTGCTCTTACCCTGCGGGGTACAATCATAGACAGAGGCTCGATGAGACTCTTGATGGTCACCAGTTTGTAAAACCTGAAAACTTCACAGGAACTCACATTCAGGCCTCTCTTTGGCATAACACCTGCAGGACGACAGACACACACACAAAAACACCAACAGTTCAAATACCTGTACAGAAAACATTCATTTCTCTCAGTTACACAAGGGGGCCAAAATGTAAAAATTGCTCCAAGCCAAGGGACAGTTTCTGTTAATATTTATTGAAAAAGTGTAATATAACAAATTATTCTTATGGAAACACAAATGATCTTCTCCAAATTATGTTTTATGTAGCATTAATAATATACAGTGCATAACCTAAAAGATAAAGAGAAAATATTACATTTAGAAAGACACATTATTAGCATTCATTTCTTATGCCTTACTCACTGCCAACCTTTCCACCACCACTACTGTATATTCTATCAATATCTTAGAGATGCATTTGGTCACAATACAGACAATCAGGGAAAACAAGAAAACCCTCATTAAAAATCCAGTTATTGGACTTTAAAATAAGAATATATTGTTAAAGATAATTACGTCGGTTACTGAAGTTAATTTTCTTGACTTGAAAGTTGGCCAGCTGTCAAGAGAAGAATGCACTGAGTACAGTGACACAAAGAGAAATCATAAAACTATACCGCCCGGACAAAAATAAATAAATAAATAAAAATCGAGTTAACCTAGGGCTATGATGTGGGGTTGCTGCAGGTGGTCAGGTCTAGGTTCAGCAACAGTATGTGCTCAACCTGAATATACTGAATGACCAGGTTATTCCATCAATGGATTGTTTCTTCCCTGATGGCACGGCCATATTCCAAGATGACAATGCCAGGATTCATCGGGCAGTGTTTTTCACATTTAATGTATTCGGATAAACGAGGACCACATGTGGTCTGCGGGCCTTGAGTTTAACACGTGATTTACGATCTGAACCGGAAAGATTTGGTGTTGTGGATGAAACAAAAGTGTACGACCCAGGGGTTTTTGTAAACACAAAGAAAAGAGTCTGATGATAAATCTAAGAATCCCAATCACAAGTATTAAAATTAAAAGCCTAGCTTTACTTGAATCAACCGTCTCTCTTCATGCCACAGATTGAGTTTAAAATCATCTCATACTGTGAAGGGTAAAGTTGTAAATGACATCAACTGATGCAGAGCGCTCAGCGTGTGGGTTAGGAGGACTCTCAGCTACCACCACACCACATTTCAGCTCAACATCTGTAAAACTGACTGTTATAGTCACTTCGGTGTCGGCTAAAGTTTAGCTGTGGCAGCCGTCTTGCACTGGGTTGACTCCATGTTTTAATGAGTTGTAGAACAACTATTGAATATTTACAGATGGTTTCCTGAATAAAGACGCAATAATGCAACAAAATTAATTTTTTTCTATACTTATCCTAATTTGAGAACCACTAAACAATTTTAATTCATACAAGACTCTGTGGGAACACTGAACTTCTCAAAAGCTGACCTTCTAAACAGATTTGAAAAAACAAGACACAGTCAAAGTTTTATATATATATATATTTTTTTTTTTACCCAGAACAATAGGTGTAATATCTACAGCTGCCTGTTTGCAGGTTCATGATGTCCTGCCTCACTCAATCCGATTTGTTTATTCAAATACTGGAGACTCTCGGCTCGGCAGCCGTGTTTACAGATGAGAGCGAGTCGACACAACCAGTGGGAACTCAGGATAACTTCCAGTGACCTTTCCTACAATTTTAATATTTTAAGTGCATTTCTTACCCATTCCTTTCTGAGGAGAATGTGAACGATATTCCGTTAAGAAGTGGATGTAAGGTTTTTCTGAGCTGATCTCGTAGTACCTGATATTCCCATCACCCTAAAAAATAAAATCAAAAGTGACATCATCTGTGTTGACCTGCAGGACCCATTGGAATTATGAACTGATTTTGGTCGTACCTTCCCAGCAAGGTAGAGCATGTGTGTGTCAGGGTCGTAGAAAGGGAAGAGAACCCCAGAGGAACCATCCAGATTCTCCTGCAGCAAAGGCTTTGACAGATCGTCCTACAAAAACACACACAAATATTCAAAACTTACTAAACAACACAATTGACATGAAACACACAAGAAAATCCCCTTGATTTCAAAAGACTGAATCATTTTTAATCCACTGCTGCGCAAGAAGAGGAGCTGAATTAAAAACTGAGTGCTCAATCTCTAATCCAGGCTTTGCCTTAATCCCCCCACCCAGGATGTAAGCCCCTCCATCTCAGCCCTCCAGCCACGTCCGAGCACTCTCAGGTGCGACGACCGTAAGTCCATCCAGCTTGAAATGTTCTACTGAGAAGCTGAGCTGCATTCTGACCACAAGATGGCAGAGCTGCGTTTGAAATCGCTGTGGTTTTTATGATTTCAGCTCATGCGAAATAAAATCATCTAATCTGCCAGAGGAGTTTGGTAAAATATGTAATCCCTTCGTAGTTTTACTAAACTAAAGTGAAAGCCCTGAAAGATATTGTGTTTTGGAAGCTGAATACCACTTTTCAGTTTCATATTTTTTCAAACGTTTTTCAAAATAAGTCATTACTTTTCCCTAATTCTGCTTGTTTAATTAGACACATTTTTGTAAAATGATTCATTTTAATTAGATTAAAATCTAAATAAATTCCAGGTTGTGAGGCAAGCCACTGTGTTTGATTTTTGGATCAGCAGAACATGAACAGCATCCGTCTGGTGTGAAGCTGCCAGCGGCGAGTCTCACCTGGTCCCACAGAGCGATCTGTCGGTCGTTGTAACGAGAGGTGCCGGCTGTGACGAGCAGCTTCATATTCCCCAGAATCAAAACCTTACTGGCTTTGTGTGCTTTATAATTGCCTTCCTGCAAAAAAAAATATTTAAAAAATAGCTGGTTAGTATGAAACAGACATGGCAAGCATTTCTATACGTAATACTTTAAAGAGATGACCTGGTTGTTAAGGAACTGTGGAGGAGTGACATCATCAACTCCTTGGATATTTTATTTCTTTAGTCCCTAGAAATAATCTAGGTGGATCTGATGGGCTAGAAGGGCTAAAAAAAAAGTTAGAATTCATTTGTGATTTAAAGAAATGCTCATTGTTACACAACAGGTTTGACCAAGTCAGTATTTCAGTTCTGTTGTGGAAAAGTTTTAATTGAGCTCGTTTGGCCGTAACAGGAAGTGACATCAGAAGTCTGTGGAGCTCTGATGTGGTCCTGGGCCAGGCCAGAGGTGTCAGTTTTGGCTGTGTGGTGCTGCGGCCTGAGGGTGGGGTGGAGGAGGAGGAAGAGGAAACTCCCTCTAACACTTGGCTGTGGTGCTCCTGTCCACCAGGAGAAAGGCTCGAGGTTCAGCAAGTTTGTTTTTCTGAACAAACGTCCAAAATTTTCTCTGGGCTTTTATCTGTTTGAATTTCCCGCAGCTAACTAGAACTGCTCACTGCTGCTGAAAACTAATATTATATCCCTGATATTGTCTGTCAATCAATCAATCAATCAATCAATCAATCAATCAATCAATCAATCAATACTTGAACAAATCCTCAACCAAGCTTTTAACCTAAAAAAAATGAGTAATAGTCTCAGTATAAAAAGGTTAAACAAGGTCAGTTACCCCCCCCCACCCCCAACACACACACACACACACACACACAC